GCTGTGTCCCAGCTGAATATGAAGTTTATATATTTGTTTCACTGCAAATTAAAGCAATGTCAGCTCTTCCATCTGGAATTCTGTTAGGCTATTGATGATGCCCAAGAACAGGACAGTGGCTGCTGCTGCCTTTCACACATACCATTAACAATTTCTAACTTTTCCTAAGGGATGATTCTGAAAGAAAGAATTTCCTAACTAGCCCCTGTACAATTGCTGACTAGACTCTTTCTTTCCAGACAAATTGTCTTGTTTTTGCTAAGGAATACCAGGTAGGAAGAGGCCTAAGAATGGTATAAGAAAGACTTTGAAAATAGACCTGCTCTGGTCATGTTCCAACACTTGGGACAAGGAAATGAAATTTTATTTTCATTGTAGTGAAGTAGATAAAAAGCCACTGGATTTTGGAAGCATTCTGTGTAAACCATGAAATATGTTGCAGAGGGCTTCTGGCTCCATTTACAATATTATATGGTTCCTTCTTTGTTTAAAAATTAAGTATATTAACATAATGTAAGAAAACACTTTCTCCATTAGTAGCACATTGCAGACTGATTGACCAGACTTCCACAGAAATTTTCTGTCGTAGTTCTAAAAAATAAATTGCCTAATCTATTTAGGGAAAAGGGGTGGAGAGGCAGTGTGTATGTCTTGCCCAGGGGTACAGTCTGTCTCATTCTTTTTCTTCTTAATACATTGCCTTCCTTGCTTATTACAGAAAATATATTAGTTCAGGGCAGGAATTGCTGGGAGGGTTGATTTGTGTTCTGGTCCACTCTGTCCCTTTGGGAATCATAAAATAACCCGGTCACAGAGTTTTCAGTTGAATTATTCTTTATTCTTACCGTGCTTCAATCTGCAGTGAAAATTTTGTAACAATACAGCACTTGGCTACCCTTAGAAGCTGTAAATATTCCAAATAAAGGAACCAAAAATATCTTGCTGAACATTAAGAAGGGCTTTTTTCATTTTTCTGGGAAATTGAAGTAATTTTCTTTATTAAAAAAAGGCAGATTGGATTTACAGCAAGCTACTTTTTGTGACCATAGTTCCTTCTGAAATGAGAAGTAAAATTGTATTAAAATGATATAAGAAAAAATTAGTGCTTACAATGATTGACTTTTCTAAAAAGTGATTTTTACAACATTTTTGAAAAACTGCATAGCATTAAAAAAATAAGAATTACTGTAATCTTTCATTTGTTAGCTGTAAGCTGCTTATATGCTACTTACAAGTGTTTCTGTACAGTATGTATAGCATTCCTCATAAAGAATAAATACCTAGCTAAACATAGATAGATAAACCGAGGACCAACATAACCTCTTTTAAAATTTATAATTAACAAGCACCTTAGTATACTATGATGTGAAATAGTAGTGGCTGATGGTCTCTTTTTGTGCTCCAGCACTAACTAATGTAAACATGGCTGCTGTGTATATATCTTAAAGACACCTAAAGCTCTATTTTTTTCTGTAAATGAATAATTAGATCCAGCATATTCACTTGTTTTTAAAAGGAGGGGTAGGGGTAGTGAAGCTCTAGAAACGAACAAAAAACCCCTAACCTCAAACATGCTGTGTTTGGCTGCATTTACTTCTATACACAGCTTACATTTGTTTTGCTGTTTTTCTTGCTCAGTGTTAGTGGACATCATAGGGTTTTTTCCTCTTAACACCTTGATACTGTTCATGGGGTTTCTGCAGACACTTCCTGAACTGTTAGCAGCTTAAGAACAACATTGTAATCCAACATGAAACCTTAAGCCCCCTGCAGAGAAGTTATTTCAAAAGACAATGTTCATTTAAACTGTACAAAATTCTTACAGGGATTTGCATATGAAGATTTCTTCTCAAAAATATTCTACATAACATTTTCCTTCTTATCTGCTGGAACTTAAGATGGTATTGGAAAATTCGTAAGTTGTGCTCTTGGAGAAAGCAAATGCACTTCAGTTACAAGAACAGTGAACAAAAATGCATCAGTAACATAAATCAGAATTTGAGATGGCAGCCATGGACTTGAGACCTGCTGTTAGTTTTCTTGAATTTGTAAGATAAAGTTTAATAACGAAGAGTAACATGTTGGTACAAATGGATTTAGCTATGGTAATCACATATTTTGTTTCAGGTGCAAGAACTGTGAAGGAATGAGTGCTGTTGCTGGCATTGTCACTGTGCATTCCAAGAGGACATTTTAGAGTTGTATTTCTAAATAAGGCATGTAATTATTTGTACTGAAGCAGATAACAACCTTTTTATTTTTCCAGCTGTCATTGAGATTATTGACTTAATTGAATATCATATTAATTTATCTTTTGTACTTCAGAATAATTTTTTTTTAAGTTGTAGGGATTAATTTCAGCTGTCATATTTTTCCAAGGTTTTTAGATTATGTATTTGTTTAATATCTCACTTGTAACTAAAAGCACAATGGTACTACCTTATTAGCAATTTTTGCTTGGGACTATTTTATCTTTTTTTGTACAAATGCAGTGATGCAGACACAATAAAAATATAAATATATAAAGATATTTATTAAAATTTACCTGTTTGTAAGATGCTTTGGGACACTGATTTGATCATAGACACTGGCAAAACCTGCTTGCTTTACTCTAAGCAGTATCTTTAAGATGCACAGGGTTGTGGGACAGGGCCATAAAGCTTGAGGTTGTTTCTTTTGATATTTTTAATCAAACAAAAATCCATACAAAAATTCCCATTGATTAAATTCACATCATAACTATGCATTCTAAAAGATTTATTTCCAGGTTTCCAAAAGTATTACACAATTAAGCTGGTATGAATGGCTAGTGGCCCCACTTTTATATTTACATAAGCATCAGAAACTGCCAATATGCTTTTGAGGCATCAGTCTAAGTCTGATTAAGGCACACAGGATTTATGTGCATTAAGACATGTGATTCATACTTCAGAAATCAAGTTACTTTATTTGATGTAAAGAAGAGGAAAAGAACTGAATACATTTCAGTTTGAATACCAGGCCTCAGTTAAGTGTTTTGTATATTAAAAGTGTGTCTTAGCCAACAAACCTATCTGAGGCATCCAGAAATTCTGCAAGTGGCAGTTTGCTAAACTCCTTGGGCAGTACTGGCTCTTTCCCTTCATGTAAACACGTTCCACAAATGCCACATGTTCCACATTAAGTGGTTCTACAAAACCAGCCACACATTCTGCTACCATTGACAAGCCAAGATACACTCATCTAAAGTATTTCTGCAGTTTCAGATTATTTATTCTGCTATTGTGAAAATTGTGATGTGACAAAAACCACTGTTACTTACAGAAATAAATATACTGTGTGTTTTAAATAGAGCTATTTCTTTCTCTACCTAACTGTAAAGGGAAGATCTTAGAATTTTGTTTGACTGGTGAAATAATTGCAAATTAAACTACTTCTATTTTTAACTCTCTTTATGCACATCACTTTGCCTTCAGCCTAGAAGTGTATGCATCACATTTCAGACTGATTTTTTTCAAGCAGTGGAATGCATAAACCCTTAAAACCAGGATTTCAAGTGGAAAATATAACCAATCCTTAATTACAGCTGCATCACAACACTAATGGAATTCCACTAACTAGCATTGTATAAAGCCTCATTGGCTCCTCCTACATGCACTAAATATAAATGTGCATGAACAGCAAAAGCAATTTGCCTCATCTCTGAATCAGCTAAATAGCATTTGCACCGAAATTTTGTCTGTATACTAACTTATCTGGTTAAACTGTGGGTCAAACCTGATCAATAAGGAGAATCATAATTATATTTTATCTTCAGATCTTTTGCTATTTTGTTGCTTGCCTGAGAAGGATTCCACTTATACTGTTCAAGCCAGTTTATTTCTTTTGGAAAGGATGGACTATTTTAAACATAATTTCAGTTAAATATTGCTGTAGCGTCCTACTTTTCTTGAGTTACTAACCAATTTACATCTATGCAAATCCTGAATCCTGAAACACTAAGTTCATTCTTGTGAAGTGTGTTGCATTTACATGGGGTTGTTAAGTCTTGAAAAACATTTTACTGTGTATAATGGCATTGCAATTAGCTGAATGCTGTTCATAAGGCTAATTGTTTATTAAGGTCTTTCTTTTTCCTGTCACTCAGGACAGAAACAAGGGACTGATTTTCTTCCTGAATGTAGTATACCTACAGTTACTGTATGTTAAACATGAATTGCACTGAAGTGCCAGCTCAAATGCCCCTCTTTAATCCACAGTTTATATGTAAAGTATTTTCTCCAAAACCTAGACATCAGGCTAGTTCTTATTTTTAAGAATTTCTAACATGTCAATTGCAGAATCAGAAATGTTGAGATGTCAGTCTTAGCAGGAATGTAGTGAAGCTGTCTGTTCAACATTTCCTGTCAGTTCTCCACTGCAGCATGCTTGCTAACGTTCTCTGCTCTTGTTTGGGAACTCTGCCAAAAGGAAATGTCAGGAGTCTCTCCAACAATTTGTCTCTTTCAGAATCCACATCCCATTTTGCACTTTGGGATTTTTTTCTGTAATGCCTATTAAGACTCTTACAAAAGTAAGGCATCAGGGAAGAAATCTGTTCCTCAATGTTTTGTAAAAGAACCAGGAGGGTGCTGTAGGTGTAGGAATTCTGAAAAGCTTTAGCAGAGGGACCCCACTCTGGGTGCAGTTTACTTGCCATAGCTGTGAGTGGAGGACTTAGCACTACAGACTTAGAAATGTGGAAAAGGCTTTTCCAGCCAGTACTGTGCAAGCTGTATTCTATTACAAACAATCCATGGAGTTTACAAGTGCCTCAGTTTATAGATTGATCAAATTCCGTATTCATCAGTTTTGATAATGCAGATTATAAGCACATGTAGGAGCATCTGCTTCTATTTTGTTTATTTGGAGATTATCCCTTAATCATGCAAGGTCCAGGTGTGCATTTTCAGATTTGTTGACTCAGGGAAGGTGCAGACAGTATTAAAGACCAGTCACATTATGCTGTAGTTACATTTATATTGTTGCTCCTGTGAAGAATTGAACCGCTCAGCGAAGAGAATGGCAAGAAGAAATGTCCTCATTACAGGTTGCTCCTCAGGAATTGGGCTGGCAATAGCTGTAAAAATGGCAAAAGATGAGCAGAAAAGATTTAAAGGTAATAATCTAGCTGTTCTTTATCTTTACAAAAACATACTACTTGAGATGATGCTGGTTTTTTTCTCTGTGATTTAACAGGTGGTTGTATTCAGTTTGGTGACTTGTTTCTGGTTCGTTTCCTCTTCTACTGTCAAGAAAATACAGCAAAAATATACTGATTTCTGTAAGCAGTTGATATTTCTGTACCTTTATTGGAATGGAACAACTATTGGAACTGAATAGCGTACGCACACATGCAATGAAAAAGGACAGTAGTAGAAACCAAATATCTGAAAATATCTTTAATATTATGCTGCTCTGGGTATACATTCACAGCTGTGGTTAGCTTTGCTTCTGGCTACTAAAATCTGTTCATATACAGGCCCATGTCCATTTGAAAACCAAAGTAATGAATTTAGGTAAACAGTTTCTAAATTTGCATTTTTTTTCTTTAAAGCACATTTCATTATTCCAAGCCTGTGTAGGCAGGTGAACAAAAGGGCTGGGATTTGTCTTGTTGCTGCAAAGCAGGGTATTTGCTATGATTGGAAATGGATGGCAAGGTGAACACAGCAATCTGTGGCAATTCAGTCTCTCATACTTACTGCTTATTTTACTGCTAACTGACTGGATGCAGATCTAGAGCTTTCTGAGCCATTAGGCTACAATAAAAACTAATTTTAATTTTTAGAAGTAGCTTACAAAATCAAATTTTTTTGCAACTTAAGGAATTATGTCTTTCACTTTTTAATAAAATGATGATTGTCCTGCTAAATATTGTGGTGACTAAAAAAAGAAGGAAATCTGGAATCCAAAATTAGGTTTTGAGTACCTAAAAACAATTTAGTAGCATAATTTGATGCCCATTTTTTAATATTTTGGTGACAGTATTATCCTTTATATATCATATATATATGTTCTTCATTATGAATAGCTTCTTCTTTTTAATTTCTTGAGGATTTCAGAACCAGACTGGGAAATTAGTGACACTATATGTTGAAAATAGAATCTTTTAGTTTTTATCTGTTTCTATCACTGATATGAAGACCTGGATGTAAAAGCACTGTTCTTTAACACGTCTCAGTAGGAGTGGCACAATAAAGATTTTATTTCTGGCGTGTTGCAGTGTTCGCCACAATGCGGAACCTGGCCAAGAAGGAGCCACTGGAGGCAGCTGCAGGTCACAGGCTGGGCAAAACCCTTGAGATTAAACAACTGGATGTCTGTGATGAACAGTCTATTAAAACCTGTGTGAACAGCATCCCTGACAGAAGGATCGATGTCCTGGGCAAGTACAGGATGTGTGTGCTATCAATAGATACCAGAGTTCTGTGAAACACTCTCAAATACCCTGGAGAAGTTTTATTAGTGTATTTTTTAAATTATCAAAGTAATAATCATTACATAGTATATTTGATTCAAGATTCTCAAGAGTTCAAGCAGACATAAGTGGATTAAATCTCACCCTTCATGAAGTAGGGAAGATGGTTTTCCCTGTTTACAAAGGAGAAACTTGATCACAGGGAAGTGTCTTGGATAAAACCATACATTTTTTAGTAAATGTGAGAAATTTTGCCTAAACTGGCACCTTCATGAGCAAGACTTTCCACCCTATTGATGAAGCATAGCACCCTATTGATGAAGCATAGTTAAAATGAAGGTAACACTTGTCTGTACTAAGAAAGCAACAGCACTGGGAATTAGCAAGTAAACGAACAAATGCAAAAAAATAGGGATATTTCCATCTTGTATTAAGAATTAAAATTGTACTTTACAAATCATTCAGCAACAAGTGTTTTCATATCATTTTGCTAAAAATAAATATTAGTATCTTAGTGGAAATGCTTACACCATCAGCTATTAAATCTTATCTACTAGGAAATTACAGACTTGCCTTTTTTTCTGATTAATTATTAAAGCAGTGCTTAACAAGTATTTCTGCAAAATTTTTGATACTCTAATTTGATGTACTACTTCTAGAGCAGAATGCCAGTCCTATCATCATTCCCCACTTATAAATATCCAGGAGGCAAATAAAAATCAATGGAATTGTGTGTTTATTTTGTTGGGGAGTTACTTCCTCTTGAAGGTACATGAATGTTAATAAAACAAAAAACAGACCAAAATATGGCTTGTTCTATCACTTTTTGAAGATTTCTATTAATTCTTATGGGTATTGAGTGTAGCTGCCGATTCTCAATACTGAATTATAAAAAAATACAAGTAATTCTTGACTCATTTTTCTGTAATCCCTTTATATTTTTTTAAAGAAGGATTATTGAGAAATAAATTAGTTAAAATGAAAAATAGCAGATAATTTAAATTTGATTAAAAGCACAATTAAAAATAAAGACATATGGAAATGTCAAATGTATTAGGAATTCTCTAGTGACTAACATATTTTAATCCTTTCTTTAAGGATTATTTAGGATCATCTAACCCTTAATCCTCACATTCCTTTCAAATGCTTTCCCATAATGATTACAAGTTTATATTTATGGATGTTTTTGCTTGCTGCTGTCTCCCATTTTGTGCAGTGAGCAATGCTGGAATGGGGCTCATCGGGCCTATTGAATGTCAGAGCATTGAGGAAATGAAAACTGTGATGGACACCAACTTCTTTGGCCTGGTTCGGCTCCTGAAGGAGATCCTGCCTGACATGAAGAGGAGAAAGAGTGGCCATATAGTAATAATCAGCAGTGTTATGGGAATACAAGGTAAAGTTGGTTTTCCTCTTTACTTGAACTAAGAGTTCAGGGCTCAAAATCCAAAGCTTTCCTCCTTTCAGTGGAAAAAAAAAAAAGAAAAAGTAGGAGCTGGCATATCTGACTCTTGTGTTTGTAATGCTGAAGGTCCAACTATAAAAAGCAGCTGGTGAGTTTTATGCATCCAGATACTGTGAGAGTACCCAGGTAGTCTCACAGCAATTTAGCAACAAAACCTTCAGGGTCTTTTTTTTTCCTGGACAGCTGTACCATCTTTTTGTAAAGTTTCTCATCTCACAACACTTGAAAGTCAAATTTTAGTAACAGATAATGATAGTCCTACTCTTGTGTCCTATCCTGTCTAGCTGGGGTTTTTTAGGTTTTTTTTATTACAACTGTGGCATTGATCTTACATGGATTGTTCTGCTGAGCCAAGGGTCCTCCATCAGTCTCCAAGAATTGGTATTTTAATACAACACTTACCCTCCACCTCAATGGACTGATGTAGTGCTTATTCTAAATCACTCAGATGCAAGCTGGATTTCTTGCATAATTGTATCTCCTGCATTACACTCAGCCTCTGTTTTCATCTGGAGCCCATTAAAGTCTTGCTGATAAATAATGCAGATGGTATTATATTTACAGACACTTTCATATCTTAGACTACAAAATAATGTCATCCAAGGAGACCACAGCATCAGCTAGGGGGAGGAAAAGCATTAGTCAAGCATCTTTGCTAGACTGAGCAATTTTGAGAACATTGCAAAAATTAGTATTTAGATTCAATGTGCACAAGGATTTTTCTAATGTTTTTCCAGCATGACTGTAGAAATTTTGGGATGAGTTCTTAAAATCAAACTATTAGTATGTTGGATGAAATCACATTCTCAGGATGTTCTGTTTGTACCATCAGGTATCTTATTTAATGATGTTTATGCTGCATCTAAGTTTGCTGTGGAAGGATTCTGTGAAAGTTTAGCTATACAAGCACTCAAGTTCAAACTGCAGTAAGTATTGATCCACTGGTGTAAATGACATTGATCCACTTGTGTAAATGGTATTGACCCACTTGTGTGAATTGTATTTTAGATAGTTTAAAATATATTCAGAGGTAGGAAAAAAATCTTTAAAGCTTGCTGCTAAACAGACTGAGAAGCCCTTGAAAACTGTACATCACAAAAGGCATAGAAATGCCTACACTCTTCACATTATATAAGCAAATAAAAAGATCTACATGTAGAATAAACATGTTCTCTTCAACAGTTAAAGGCTATTTAGCTTTAGATAAAATACAGTTCATGCAACACTTCTGGAAACAGATTCTTACATACAATATCACAGAAATGAGATCACTGTGATTTTTCCCCTTAGAAAGGATAATGGCCTTCTCAGGCAATTCACAGATAAGAAAGTTCAAGGGCTCATCAGAGAGAGTGAGCAAGTGCAAATCCGTCAGAATGTTATAGGGTGAGATACCTGTAATGAAGGAAGGTGGAAGGGAAGGGAGAAGTGTGATGTACTATTCCTAACATTTTAGATAGAATTTAGGAGACCAGTCCTGTTCATCATCTGTGGGACTTCAGGTTTGATTTGTCACATGTATATTCACACTCATGTAATTCTGCTACTATTCTTTGTGCAAACTCCAATAACTGCTAAATGTCCATTGCATCTCTGTCTGAGCATTTAGGCCTTGTTGAACAAAAGACAGCTGTTGTTGTGGAATTTCAGAGACAGAACTGATTCTGCATATTGCTTTGCAAAGTTGGGAGGGATTTAAAATAAATGTAATAATACACGGGATAGACCACAATTCATAATGAAATTTCAAGAGTATAAGACACAGCAAAAAGGAGGTTATAAAAGGAAGTATAATAAGATAAATTCAAGGTCTAATGGGAAGAGTGATGGAAGAGAAAGGGCTTTAATTCCAGCAGTAGCTGGAATTCTGCTGTGAAGGTCAACAGCTTGATTTAGTTCTAAAGAAGAGCCTTTAGAACATCACCTAAAGAACTCGGGTCCAGTAAGAGACCCAATCCCAAAGAGTGTTTTGATAAACACAGTGGCTGGGTGTTATTACTGCCTGAGAAAAGAACCAAGAAAAATCTGACCTGTAACTGTATTTCAGTGATTTGCTACAATACACTACTGGGCAAAATAAAAACTTTCAGATTTGGCAGCAGCCAGAATCTGTAGCACCCACAGTAAAAATCTCTGTATTGTATTTTATTATTATATAGTGGTGAGATCTTAAATTATGTAACATTAACACCTTGACAAAGAAAATCCATGTTTTGGCAATTCCCCCGTCTCTTTCAGCTACTTCTAGTATTATCATGAGAAACAAAGAAACCTATGCAGGATTTGGTCCAGGAAGTAATGAATTTTGTTACCATCCATTAATTCTTTTTCTTAATATCTGGTAAGTCCTTGTGAATAAATCACCCTTAGATTCCACAGCTGTGAGACAGCAGGTAACAACTGCACTCACTTATGTCATGAATTTCTCTGAATATTAAGCTATGCAGGTTTCTACTGCTGTATGTGGGTGGGTAGGAGGAGCAGGACAGCAGTGATGCAGTAAGGATTGCCTTTAGAAAAAGTGCTGTTGTTTTATACTGTTTGCTAGTGCAATTTGTCAATGCTCCTTTTGAAGAAGGATTGAGGGGTGTATTTTCCATGGAGAACAGTCACAACCAGTAACCTTTTTATCTTTTTTTTTTTTTTTGAACAGGTTAAGTTTGATTGAACCAGGCCCAGTGGTTACAGAATTTGAAAGAAAAGTTTTTGAAGATGGAATGAAAATGGATCTTTCAGCTGCAGATGAAGAAACAGCTGAGATGTTTACTAATATTTACCTTAAAAATTACAAACAAATTTTCCAGAGCCTGGGACAAAGTGCTGAAGATGTTGCAGAGGTAACTCATCAAAAAATCATCTTCTTTTCTTTGTTGTTTTTTTTTCTTTGTAATTTATGAATGCAGTGGTTGGTTGGTAGGTTTTTCTGGTAGAAGCATTCAATTTAATTAAATGTAATGTACGCAATTAAAAAGTTTTTTTTTAAATTCAAAAGAATTTTCAGTCTTTAAACAAAAGTCTACAAAATACTAAAAGAATGCTCATTTTGAAGTATTGAAGATAACTATGAATTGTAATTTCAATACCACTGAGATATTGGATGCCCTTTACATCCTCTGGTGAAGTCTGAATATTCTGCATTGTTCCCATACATCCACCCAGGGTTCCCAACCCTGGTTGAGCTCTATCCTTCCCATCTCACTCAGGATCCCTCCACTGAGGGAAGTTCACACAGCCACCCCAGGGCAACAAGGCACAATAAAAGAAGCATGGATGTTTCTGGTGCTTGGAGCTTCTGCAGGAAGACAAGTTTAGGCAAGCTCTGGGAGGGGATGATGATTTCAGGAGTTTGCTGCTAAGGAATAGCTTCAGTGTCAACTGAAGATTCCCAGATCTTGCTGCAAAAGGCACTGTCCTGATCCTTTACCAGTGAACTGCAAAAGAGAGGATCTACCTACTGTGGGCATATCAACCCACAATCGTTCGGAAGGCTGCTCAGGATACTAAGTATCACCATGGTATAGAGAAGCAGAAATAAAAGAATAAATAAGAAATACTTCTTATGACCTTTGAATATTTCAAGAAGAATTTCTAATGATGTTCTAATAAAACTATACACAGGGTTTTACATAATTATAGCACTTTATTCTCCTACTTTTCCACTGAAAATTGGTCTTTACTTTACTATCTTGGTAAAGGTTCTTTTAAAATTCTATTTCTCCTTCTCTACAGCACACAGTAAAGATAATTCTTGCAGAAAATCCACCTTTTCGCCATCAGACCAACACCTTGTATACTCCAATGACAACTTTGAAGTATGCAGATCCAAATGGAGATCTACCCATTGACATATTCTACAAAATGGTTTTTCAGCATGACAAAATCTTCAGTGCAAGTCTCAACTTCATCAAATTGCTAAGGTGGAGAAGCAGAAAGAGCTTTGACCTGGGAAAACCTTCACAATAAGAATGAGATTATATAGTGCAAATTGGAATTACTTGTTGTAGCTACTGATGACACAGTGTTATTCAAATGCCTTTGCTCTGTAATTATGAAAAGGCATGCAATATATTTGTTTGAGCTTAGCTAAGATATTAATTTCAATGTGTATCTCTTGAATGTTACTGTTTGCAGAACCTTGCAATTAAAATCCTCTAACTGTAGTTTTATTCTGTTTAGTGTTTGCTTTTTCCAGAGATGTTTTCTTAGGAACAGGAACACTGACTGGTATTTGTGTATTCAATATTAACCTGACCTCCTTCACTTACTTGTATATAATACACACTGAGAGCTGTACAGTATGCAAATGATTTAGATTCTTAATATCATAAAAATGTTTTTACTTATTAGGATAGAATTGGTACAGTAATCACTCAAGCACACTGGCATTCTCATTTCCAAAGTCAGATCCATTTGTCAGCAACGTAAGGGAAAGTCTTATCAATCTTAAAGTGTAACTAGTAGAATATTTATTATTCATATATATTATAATATTCTGAATGCTTCCTTTATATGCAATGGTTACTAGCATATTGCACTTAGTGAGCAATAAAATGGTTTTTTAAAGCATCCTAAAATAAAATATCTTCTTACTGTCTGGGTACTACATTTTGAAAACAAAGTGTTGTCAGTAATAAGCAATCACAATCCACTCAATGCCTTCAGTACTTTCGGTGTCCGACACAGAATCCTCCTGTTCCAAGCTATCCTAGTAAGTATGTGTTAAACCAAAATTCCATCATGCAGAACAGTTCTTTTCCCTTGCATGTTCTCAGCAGAGTGCTCCCAGTGGCCGAGGCCGAGCAGGGATCGTGGCTGCAGGGCCGTTCCCGCTCCTGCCCGGGCCATTCCCGCCCCTGACCCCGGCCCGCCTCTCTGCCCGCTGGGGCACAGGCCGGGTGTCCCTCGGGGCTGCGGCTCCTCGGCCATTGCAGCAGCTGTCCCTGTCTCACCCACAGAGCCCAGCGGAGCTCCCTCGCATGCCGGAGCTGTCCTTCTCTTTCCCTCAGTACTGTCCTACAGAGCCAGAACCGAATTCCCTGCTGGGACTTGCAGCAGCCCCGCCCTGCCCGGCCTCTCCCCAGAGGAGCTTAAAGCTGCTGCGGGTACCAAGCACTGCGGCTAATGCAGGGCTCTAATGCAGGGCTCGCTGTGCAGCTGTGACCCTTTTGGTGGGGCCCGGGGTGCCGGGGCATGCAGGGACCTCCCTAGGACGGCAGGCCGGGGACTGAGGGGACAAGAGCGTCCGCAGCAGCCGCTGTGCACAACTGGAGGCCCCAGGCAGTTCCTAACTCACACCTCTGAAAAAAACACCGGGTGCCCGGAGCCCAGCAAATAGGTGGAACAGCAGCGAGGCTGAAAGGAGAAAGCGGGAATTAAATGACAGCAGAGTGCTGGTGGGCCTGAAGGGAGCCTGGCAAATCCCCGCTCTGCAGCCCGAGATGTCCTCGGCACCTGCTGAGGGCCAGCACAGGGTACTGGACAGAGACATCCACAGAAGGGCTGGGCCTGCCGGGAGCCCCTCGGTGTCGCTCAGCTGTGGCTGTCTCTGGCCTGCAGCTCGGGCTGGGCTGCATTCCTGGGCACTTTTTTCCCTTTGCAAGGCAAGACCAGGACTGTGGGTTTAATGAGCCTTCCACAAACACTATCGTGGTCTGGCTAATTCTGTCTCATATAACCATCACACTACTGGTTATGGAGTGAAAGCAGAAAATAGCGTGTAATAGATGGCTGCCGAGGAAAACCAGCCCTGCCTGCAAATCGTGAATTAACTGCGGATTAAGCACCGAGCCTGTCCTGCTTCAGGGACCAGCCTGGCGGGGCTGTCGGATCCCCTGCCACTGCCGGAGCCGAGGGGAAGGGCAGGGGGACTGGGTAGGGCCCGAGCGCAGCTCCCGGCGCAGGGGGGCGGCTGAAGGACCCCTCACTGCCGCCGCTGCTGCCGCCGCCCGCACGTGGCACCGCGGCCTTTCCGGCGCTCCCGGCGGCGGAAGCTGTTTCGGCTTCCGGCGGAAGCGCCGTCCCTCGCAGGTTGAGCCGGAGTCGGAGCGTTTCCGCCTCGCGGCCGCCGCACGACCGGGGCCAGCCGAGCCCAGCGGAGCCGCGCGCGGGGCGTTCCGCCGCTCGCCTCCCCTCAGACCGGTCTTAAGGCAGCGGCGCCGGCGGCCGAAGGATGTGGCGGAGGCGGCAGTGGCAGACGCCGCGGCCGAGGGAGCCCTGAGCCTGAGCAGCGCTTCCCGGCTCCGCGACCCCCCGGCCCGGCAGCGACCCCCGGCCCGGCAGCGACCCCCGGCCCGGCCCCTCGCCGTCCCCCGCCCCTCGTCGCCCTCCGCGGCCCCGCCCGCCCCCGCCGGGTCCCCGCGCCCTGGAGCCCCGCGCGGGCGCTGAGCGCAGCCCGTGAGCCGAGCGCAGCCAGGATGGCCTCGTCGTCCGGCAACGACGACGACCTCACCATCCCCAGGGCTGCCATCAACAAGATGATCAAAGAGACGCTGCCCAACGTCCGCGTGGCGAACGACGCCCGGGAGCTGGTGGTCAACTGCTGCACTGAGTTCATCCACCTCATCTCCTCCGAGGCCAACGAGATCTGCAACAAATCGGAGAAGAAAACTATCTCCCCGGAACACGTCATACAAGGTGAGCTTCCTCCCCGCTGTGCCGGGTCGGGCACCGCACCGCTCCTGTCCCGCACCGCTGTTTGCTCTCCTTTGCTCTCCGCTTGCCTGTAGCTACGTAGGACACAAAGGCAGGGGCTGGTGAGGGTGTGGAGGAGAAGCGTGTGCTGTCCGGCTTGCCTGGCGCACTGAGAGAGAGCTTGTCTTTGTGTGGTTAGAGCGGCTGCTGGCTGTGTTCAGGACCAGCTCCGGTTTTGTGCTTCAGAGAACCTGTGATGCTGTGAGTGAAGTCACCAAATCGCTTCCTCGTACCTGGGAAACGAGGTCTGCTTTTTCGAATGGAGACCTCGTGTTTTAAGAATCTGAATGTAGTAAATGTCTTTATAGTCGGAGATTGATTATGTGGGGCCCAGACTTTATTCCATGGTAGTGTTGTCTGGAATCTCTTAAGAGTATATTTCTTTAGGGCTGTCCTTACAGTCTCATTGTTTAATGTTGGATCTTCGTATCTGTTGCAGAAAGCATTTAAACGTGACCTATGCCCTCGTATCTTTCTGTGCTGTTGCCTTGCACTTCTGCTTGCTTGAATAAAAGGCGAGTTCTCTCTCTGTCTCGTTTATTTTTCTTTAAATTCTGTCACAAATAAGGAGTTTTCTTGCCTCATCCTGAAGTCTGCATTAGGCATAGTTTTTTGTCAGAACTCATTTGCTTTGCTTCTTAAGCCGGGGTTGTTGATACCGGTGTTTGCTGCAAGCACATTTATAGCAGCAGTAGTGAAAGAGCGCTTTACTCGGCTACCTAGTAGAGATATTAACAGCTGCATTTGTAGTACAGCTATTTTCAGGGCTGTGATGGTATCAAGTTAATTTAAAAAATGTTGTGGTTGTATGATTTTTTAAAGCAATATTTGCTGTTTAAGCAAAAAAAAAAAAAATTGGTTCGCTTTAAATTTATTAACTTGCTCACCAGAAGAGGTTCAAGTACTTAACTGGGTCATGAACTGCAAAAGAAAATATGTAGCATGTATGAGCTCTAATGTTAAATGAAATGCATGTAAGCTTGCAAGTTTAGTAAAGTAGCTCCATTACAGAAGCCTAGGATGTAAAGTAAAACCTGTGCTTGCACATGGAAGCATACTTTAGGTGTGATGCTCTTTAATACATGGGTAGTTTTTTCAAGTCACCACAAAAAACATTTGAATTTAGTTCTTAACACAGGAATAGATGTGATCTTTAAGATTGAGGGCAGTAGAGGGTTTGTGTATGAAAGTATTTTGTACCCAGTGGTGGTGGTCTGTAGAAAAAAATTCACCTATTTCTGTCCTAGGCTTAGTCTGGGTTTTTTGGAAAACAAACTGAAACTAAAGTGGGTGTGCATAACATCAGCAGATGGTCCCATGCCAAGTATTTTGCTGGGTTCTATGTCCTTGTGTTATCACATCTTAGGGTTAGAAAAAGTTATTTTCAAATTAAATCTATACTTTGTAGTAAAATATTGCAATGTATCAATTTTTGTAATGTTCTAGAGATGGAATGGATTTTCTGCTATGCTTATGTTTAAGGAAGCTGTAATTGCTATTAGCTCCTTTCAGAGGCTGGTCAGCTGGCAGATGATCCTCTGTGAGGTTTGAGGGTTTTGGCTGCCAGTTTGGAAACAGTGATTGTGTATATAGGTAGAGTATTTCAGCATTTTCATCCATCTTCATACAATCTAGATACTTGCTATTTTGAATGCCTCTTAATGCAGCAGCCTCACGACAATGATGCTAACAAACGAGGCAATTGAAATCTGTTTGTTGTGGTCACCCATGTGTCTTTTTCCTTCTGAATGGTTAGAAGTCAGTGAGGCTAATGGCCACACCTGGTCCAGCCTGAGCACAAGGTGCTGCTCAGAGGAGTCTTTTGGTACTCTCTGAGAGCTGGATCTGGCAATTGCAGATGCAACTGACCCTGTGGCTTTTGAGAATTTAGGGCAGAGCAGGGCTTCCTCTCAGGTGAGTTTGCTGGCTGACTGGGGCTGTAAACAAGAAGTTCCTAGACTGGGAGCAAGAAGCAGGAAGGATGTTTTGCTGGGCCAGAAGAGGGGGAAGAGGCACTCTGCAGTTGGTGACACTCTGCCACTGGACTGTGTGGAGGTGAGGTGAAACTGCCCTTGGTCACTGTGCTGAGGTGTTTGGCTCAGTGGTGCTGGAGACACCCCTTCCTTTGCTGCACTGTTCAAGTGCTTGTATGGCCCTGTGCTGAGCAAGAGCTCTCTCTCCACCCTTGGGTTATACCTCAGATAGAAGAGGTCCTTGCTTGTTATTTTGTGTGGTGGCACTGGCACAGTGCTGTCAATAGCATAGGGAAGGGA